CACCCCTTGCATGCATCCCGTTTCGGTACAGTGCCACGTCAGCAGTGCCAGATCAGCTGTGCCACGTCAGCAGTGCCACGTCACAGTGCCAAGTCACAGTGCCACGTCACAGTTCCAAGTCACAGTGCCACGTCAGCAGTGTTACGTCACAGTGCCAGATCAGCAGTGCCACGTCCACAGTGCCAGATCAACAGTGCCACGTCAGACACAGTGCCACGTCAGCAGTGACGTTCAACACAGTGCCACGTCAGCAGTGCCACGTCAGCAGTACCATGTCAGACGCCGTGCCACATCAACAATGCCACATAAGTAGCATTGCCACGTCAGCAACATGACGGGCCTGCCAGGCCAACTGACCAATAAGACCATTGCCGCCTACAAGCAGCGTTGCCTGGCTCAAATAGAGGCTGAGGAACAACGCCTGCTGGCAGTCGAGGTTGCCCGCATACAAGCTGAAGAGGCAGCAGCAACAGAGAAACTGCGGCTACAGGCCGATGCAGAAGCAGATGCCCAGGCTCGCCGAAAGCAAGCCCAGGATCTGCTGCAACGGCATGAAGCCAACAGCATCGACAGACTCAAGTACTGGCATTTTCAACCGAACGGCGACGACGCAACACCGGAAGAAAAGCACAAGGAGTTCCTCTCCAAGCTCGTGACGCGGTTGTTGTATGCTTGCAACTACCAAAGGTCAGAGTTGGAGAGACAGCACCGGGACCTGACGCAACAACATCAGGAATTGGCGACGCTCCGCCGCACAGTGCAGAGCCACGAGGATGCAACTCGGGCACTCAATGCCCGATTGTTGGACCTGGAACAGGAAGTACCAGGACCAGCTGCTGGAGCTTCTAGCATTGCACCCTCAAGCCGCCAACTGGAGGACCGCGTTGACCACGTAGTGGCAATGCTCGGCGACATTAGCACCTTCGCTGTGCCGACCACCACCATCAGCAGTCAGCTGCATACATTGAAGACCGAGGTCCAAAAGCTGCAGTCGACGAACGCGGACGACAATCCGAAGATGTACAAGATGCCAACTTTCAACTTGGAGAGGTTTGACGACTACACGCAGCAGGATCCCGTCCTCTGGTGGGAAGCATTCACAACGCAACTCAGGATTCTGCTAATAGCCAAGCTTGCGTACATCGGCGCCCTGTTCCTAAACTCAAAGGGCGGATGCTAGACCTGGTTGAGCCACCTGGCAACCTCCCACGGCATCGACGTACCAGACTTGAAGGACGTAATCACATGGGAGGAACTGACACGGCTGTGGAAGAAGCGGTTCATCGTCGACGACGCGCCGGCACTCGCCATCAACCGTTTGTTCACCATGTCACAGGGCAACACATCAACACGGGACTGGCTCACGGAGTGGCAGAAGATTGCGGCTGTGCCCAATCTGAACCTACCATTCGAGCATCTACGCCGTGAGTTCTACAACAGGTCCTGTGCGGCATTGAGCCAGGCTCTTGGTGATCGCGAGCAGTACTCAACCTTYGCGGAGATCATTGACAAAGCGAGGGAGATCATCAAGACCAACAGGTCAGCTGCACACGAGAAATCAACATCATGGCAGCCGACCTATGTGGAGAAGGTACGAACTGGTCCGCGATAGCAGCACTTCGCTGCAGTCCAGCAGGACAGTGGAGATAACCCAGCAGCCACTCCAGTATCAAGTGACGGAGATCAGGTGGCCGCTGTCCAGCCGCGAAGCACCAACAAGTCCCGCAACAATGGGAAGGTGAAATCCGCATCGCAGGCCGGAAATGGACAGCCAGGACAATTTCCATGGGTCAAGTTTGGCTTGACCGAGGCGGAGTACAAGGTCGGCGGCCGCTACGGCAGCTGCTATTGGTGCTATAGCACCAAGCACAAGACCTCCCTGTGCCAAGATCAGGGCAAGGAGGATGTGCGACCCCGCCTCAGCTCGGGAAACTGAGCCCCGAGAGGTGAGGCGACTCCACCTTCTACTCCGCCAGATTCGGCCACCTTGCTAGCGGCCTTCTGCACATCTGGGGAGGATGCGAATGTCGCAAGTCCTCGGTATACTTCCGGGGATTATGTTGTCCACTTGGTTCCACCGCTGGACCAACCGCTCCACATGCAACAGTCCACCGCATGCACGGTTTCATCACCATCGGCAACCGATTTGGCAGCTTCGCCGCAATCTATCGTCGGGGATTCGACGTCATGGTCAAGAMTTGAAGAGCTCGACCCATTGACGTTCACGGACTTCCAGTGGATGCCCGTTCCCTCGACCGGACGATTGCCGAAACCGCATTGCAACGTGCTTATGGCACAATTGCGGGACTACTTGCACACTGAAGTACCAGCTCCGTTGATGGACGCCGGAGCAGAGGTTGTCGACCTTCACGCTTTCATCGCAAAGATCGACCGCGAGTTCAAGACGCAACGGTACGACGACATC